ATACAAGGTTTCAATGATTTCATTTGTTTGAGACTTTTCGATATTGAGGATGAATATGTATATTTTTTGTATGAAGTAAATGAATTGAATTCCTTTTTAATTATTATAAGACATGGATCAGTTATAACCTACGAATAAATAATAAGTCAGGAAATGTTACTGCATATCAAATTAATAACTACCCACAAATATTATGAAGAGGTAAGTTTGTAAGTTTATATGTGGGAGTAATCTCTGAAACTACGAGTACTTATCCGATTCTGAACATTCTTCACTGATAGGAAGTTACATTATCGCTATAGGCTACATTTATTTTGATTAAAATGTGTCTGATGTTAAAAATTATAATAACTTTGATTGTAGTCGGTAAATAATGAGTCTGTTGAATTCCTTTATCTGCCTACACGGTTTTAAATAAAGCAACAAAATTTATGGTAAAAATATATGTAAGCAAACGAGCGAAGGGTGGGTCGTTACTCGCCAGTATTAAATAAGTAAGAAAAACAATTCTGGCATAAACGTAATATTAATTTTCAAAAGCTATATATTTTCTTGTCTATGGGCTTAGACGAGATGACAATCTACAATCGTTTACGTTAAAAGAAAACAAATTAATATCTATATAATTTATATTACTGTTCATGACATATTGTTTGACATAACGTACATAATCTCAGTGATTTTTAACGTTATATTTATTAAAAAAAATATGTAAAACTTTTAATGATAATAAAGAAAAAAAAATGTCATTCCCTACAATATTTCTTTTCTATTAACCTTTCCCGCCGCCATATTCTTAGCCCGCTGACAAACTATAACTCGATAAACAATTAGCATTTTAAAATAAGTTAAATCAATTACTCGTGTTCTCTAAATCTAATATTTTTAACTACAAATTTATACCTTTATATCTTCGATATAAGGTTAGTAACTGAATGCCAAAATCTTCAATGAATACATCCCTAGTATTATAATTTGCACATGTCATCACGACGCGTGAAATCGATTCCAATATGTGATGGACAGATGTGCAACATCTATGATAACAATCAAATGATAACAATTGTGACGTCACGCCTATCAAAATCTACGAAGATACTATTAAATATGTCGTATTTGGGGTAAAATGACCATTTTGGTAACGTCACTACTGTTGCTTACATTATGTGTTTATGTGAGGCGTGATAGAATTAAATTAAATGAAAGGCATTTCGTTTAGGCACAGGGGAGATTTTCTGATACGAATTTTGTTTCTGTTATGTAAATTTTTGTTTCTGTTATGTAAATTGTAACTAATAAAAAGCTACCTTGTTTTTCAATGATTTTAATGCTTTTATTAGGTCAGTGGATCAATCACTGTATTTTAATGTTGTACATTTATTTCTGAAATAAAATACGCACAGATTATAAAATTAAAAATTTAAATAACCCCCTTCGCAAATTAATTGTCATTTAACGATTACACTGGCGCGCGTAAAGCTCTTAATCGACTAATCATACGACAAAATGCCTTATTAACATCATTTTGGAAAAAAGCTGATACCTACTCTTACATTGCTGGACCGATATTAACCAAACATAGCTAAGAACTACCGCAAGGAAATGGTTTTCGAATGAAAAAAAACCGCATCGAAATCGGTCCATCCGTTTGAGAGCTACGATGTCACAGACAGACAAATACACAGACAGACAGACATCGACGTCAAACTTATAACACCAATATTATATAGGGGTTAAAAATACATAATACCTACGTTACAATATAAAGGAAGTGCTAAGCACGTTACGTTAACTTCTTTATTTTCCACTTGTTCGGTCTTTTTAACTAATAAGTTGATTAGTCCCCAATGTTTCTCCTTAATTTCACACCCAAACACAGTCATATGTATAAGATAAATATGACAACTTATTATCTATGATTGCTAGATTAATATCTAATATATCTAATAGGCAGTGGTAGCCCAGTGGTAACGCGCTCGCTTGAGAAACCGAGTGAAGCGGGTTCAAATCCCGGGTCTCGCACCTCTGATATTTTCATGTACGAATCATTTCTAACATGATTACAACTTGCCTTACGGTGAAGGAAAACATCGTGAGGAAACCTGCATGTCTGAGAGAACTTAGCAAGTTTTCGAAAGACATGTGAAGTCCGCCAACCCGCACTTGGCCAGCGTGGTGGACTATGGCCTGATTCCCCTCGTACTGAAAGGAGGCCCGTGCCCAGCAGTGGGATGATAAAAAGGGCTGAATACAATTTGGAATTGGAGTAAATTAATAACGATTCCTAGAGTTTCTTATTCGCTGTACAGTGAACAAGTGTTCTAATTGAAATGCTAACTCATATAAATAATAAAATATTATTTTGTTAGGAAATAGTGGAAATTAATTATAAAAGTACAATTCTTTACCAAATCTGGATTTGTTTGATATCCCGTGGGATGTCGTCGGGCACGTGTCAGTCTTATGACCCATTCGCAGCATGTGTTGCCGACGCTAACGAGAATTATTTACAAAGTCATTTATTTACTAAATAAATTGTACTAAAGCATTTTGTGTAGCTAATACGATACGATAAATTACAAATTATATTTAAAAAAAATTATGCCATATATTTCAGTCTTTGTCGAGAAAATGTTATTAGTATTCTTGTGTATGTAGTTATTATGAATTAATTTAATTTTATTATAGTTTTTGAGAACTTATAAGTTATAGTCAACGATCACTTGTGTCAAATTCTTAAATTGAGTTCTTAAACTGTGCTGTCTGACGTTTGCTAAACATTTTTAGAGAGTTAGGACATGTATATAAAACTAGAGACTCAACGTCGTTCCGCTCAGGTTCGTTTTAATGAATGATATACACATTATAACCAGACAAACAAAAAATCATCTTCATATATAGCTATTATATAAAGCCGTTGAATATAATAATATAAAGAAAATATTAAAAGCTTCCTGTTAACGTTGTTTTATTTCATGTAACACCTTTACAAACAGAAATTGCTTAGTAAAATCGTGGCTCGAACAATAAATCGTTTCTTCTAGTTGATTAAGCAATAGAAATAAAATCACGTTATTTCTAAATATATTCTAATGATATTATCGATATTGTAGTCACCCAGTGACCGCGGTTTTTCAATACCAGTATTAGTTGACAGGACATGCAGTACGTGCCTGAGCGACTAAGTACGCGGTAAAGAGCCCTTATGTACTGGGGATACCGGCCCTTTGCCCATACTAATGTAAGGCAATCGTGACATTGATTCGACAGCGATATACTGTTATACGTTTAACAGTATTGTTTTTGGTTACTAACTAATTTTAAAATTCTAAATCGATTATCGATACAGAGGCCGAAAATTTAGAATTTTTGTCTGTCTTTCTGTGACCGCATCATGGAAAATCTACTGCAGGGATTTTGATGAAATTTGGTATGATGATAGCTGGTTATTCGGGTCAACATAGGTATAGGATACTTTTTGCTGCAGGAAAATATCTCATCTCTGAGAAATCTATACTAACTGTTAAAACGAAACTTGGGACGAATCTGAGCGGAGCGAGGGTGAATCGCTAGTTGTAAATAAAATGTTAATAATTTAACTCGACAGTTTTTCTGATTATATCTTAAATTGGGCATTATAAGAAAATGACTGGATGAATGAATTAAATACTCGTAATTGTATAAAATACAAGGGACTTACCCTCGTTTCGCTCGGGTTCGTCCTTAGCTTGGTTCCCCGTGCAAACTTTTATCCCCATTTTCACATCCGTAAGGGATGATTTCCGGGATGAAATGTATCCTATGTCCTTCCCAGAGTCTCAAACTATCTTCTTACCAAATTTCATCTAAATCGGTGCAGTAGATCTAGAGATTACCCCCTACAACGTCACAAACTCACAATCGCACAAACTCACAAACTTTACCTCTTTATAATATTAGTATAGATGTATATGTTTTGTAAATTTAGTAAAAAAGGGCACGTTTTTTATATTATGGCATGCATTTTAGATATTATTTACTTACTTATTTTAAATATACATAAAAGGAAGTTATTATAGAATTATTTTTAATAAACAAATTCTACTTAAAATGTAAGGTGAAAATAAGCCAATTTCATAAAAAAAATTGAGTAAAAAGGGTCGCTGTTGTATCATATCTTTATATTAAACATTGAAAAAGTTGGCAGATTGCGATATAAATTCAATGAGATTTTAGAACCAAAATTTTCCCTTTTACATAAAATTGGCATATCTTGATAAAAATAATAAAAAGAAATCGTTTCATATATATATTTGATAATTTTTAATATTTAAAAAATTATACGTGAATTAATCTACTATATCTACATAATATAATAAAATTCTGAGTCTAATCTGTACATTAAATGGTTTGCATTATTATCAATACAGAGGTTGAATCTATAGTTTTTAGAATTTTTGTCAGTCTTTCTATCTGTGATCGCATCACGAGAAAAACACTGGACAGATTTTGATGAAATTTGGTATGATGACAGCTGTTTATTGCGGGAAAATGTCACATCTCTGAGAAGTCGATACTAAACGTTATATAATAATTAAAAAAATAGAACATACTCAATACTCAAGTTATTTCTGCGCTCATACAAAAAAACACATATTTTCAAAATATCTTTTCATACCTATATAGTAATTTAAATTCCAAAATGTCGATCAATGTGCTTTGGATTTTCCAAAACGCTACGCCGCTACGACGACTACGCTATTATTTGCTTTTCACTGAACTTAAGTCTTTAGTACCGCGTTAGCTCTCATTCGAGTAGGGTGTGTCGCTCGCTAGCGTTCCACACGCGCGTGTACATTTACGTAAACCGTAAATCCAATTACAGGTTAAAAAATATGAAGGGTCAATGACCCTATGTGATAATGGGATCGTGAGTGAAATGAATATGGCTTAAGGTTTTCTTGGTTTAAAGTTACATAGTTTTGGTGGAAAATGTTTTGGAAGGATGTGCGTTTAGAAAAATGGTGAAGGCGTTTCGAGCGCGATGTGTGCTTGGAGGATTGATGTTGGCTTTGGCCCTTTCTGGTACCCGAGGGCTTATAGGTAATTATACAAAAAAAATAAATAAAAAAAGACATTACATATATATTATGTATATAGACTTTTGACTTGATTTTCTCTATAAAGGCTTAGAAATATGTATAAAAATAAAGGTTTATATAAAAAAGAACTTTATCGTTTAAATATAAAATGTAAAAACGTTTTAATAACAAATTGTATTACTATAAAATAATTTGCACTCTACATTTATAATTCTCATGTGGCAGTATAAACAGTATTGACTAAGTTGGAATCGAACTTATGACCTTCAGTTCTAATGGCAGATGTAACTCCACCATGTCAGATGGTCATGAAATACATCTGCAAAAATCTAAATTATGAGCCAAAATATTATAAAATTTCAAATGTATAGAGTATAACATTTCTATTAACATGCAGTCTAATCGGTCGATGCGAGATTTTTGCAAACGTATTATGTTATTATATTTTTTTTACGAAGTTGTATTGTAGATTCTAACAATATCTATATAAAAACTATTTACGTTTGAATTATGCGTATTGCGTTTTAGTTGCATTTGAATTGGACAAAAAAAAGGCAAGGGAGAAGCTATTGTGTTGGTTTCAATAGCAACACAGATGTGCCAACGTCTTGTTATCAATTAGACTTTTCTATTGTGTGTAGAATTGGTATTATATTCAAAGCTTTCTGGCTTACGGATTTACAAATTTTTTTAACTTTATTTATCGTTTTTTATAACATATTGGTAATAACAACAGAAAGAGACAAAATATTCTACGTATTATATATATATTTTTATTATATACAAGTATGTACATATATTTATGGATTTATTCCACAAAATATGTTCTTTATATTACGTTGCGTACATTTAAAAAAAAACAAAATTTGTTTATACGTTTTAACTATTATCTGAAAGTATAGTAACGATTGTAAAATATCTTTGACCAATAAGAAATATCTGTATACCTGAACGTTGGGAGCGGAACTGCGGACTACAGTTCGTTAATCATAATAATATGTTTGTTCGTTTTTAGCGTTTTTGACGTCCTACTACAGGGTACTAGCATCTCTTAAATGTGAGAAGAATCAGTCAGTCATTCAGTACACCAAGATGGCCATGTGCGAGTTGGCGGGCTTCATATTTCTTTCGAAAGCATGTTAGGGTTTCTCAGACATGCAGATTTCCTCACTATATTTATAAGTGAGAATATCAGAGGCGCGTGGCCTGAGAAACTTGAACCCCGGTTTATTGCTTCACTTGGTTTTCCAAGCGACCACGTTATCACTTGGCTACCACGTACTATGGTTAGTTTCTGTAATTCAGACAAAGACAAAACAAAAAGTAGTTTTTAAATATACCTAATTCTTTTGTTCAATAAACCTTTTTAGTTCTGATATGTGAAACTTTTGTTTCTTGCCAAATAATACTCAAGCAAAGTAGAAAACCAATATAGAAAATGAGTTGACATTTTGTCTTTTGTATTTTGTCAACATAAATATGTTAAAAAAATATGTCTCTTGGCACGAAGTCGTTAAGAAAAATTTAGTATGAGGCCATGTTTATATTTTTTATTGTAAAATGAAAATATTTGTATAATAAATAAAACTTTAAAGAGTTTTTGAAGAAATAATTTAACAACACTTTTTTTTTATTTTACCTACTATTTTCATACATACATCACTATAAATATTTATATACAATACAAATTATTTATAGCTTCATAGTGACTTTTCCACTTTATGTGACAGTGACGAAGGTACGCACAAACATACACACACACACACACACTAAAAGTTAACATGTTTATTTATTGACTACCACCTTTTCCTCTTTTTACCGATAATTTAATATATATATATATATATATATATATATATATATATATATATATATATATAGCGTGTCTTTTCCATTATATGCGACATTGGCGAAATAAATTGTGCTCAAACGACACGACAACTTCTAGGAGCCACTGAATAAAAGAATTGAAATGTCTAAATTACCGTTTATTTCTTATCATTTGTCAAATATATTATTATCATGGAGTTAATGATGCCCACTTCCTATGCAAATAACTCATATGTGACATTTTTGGGTTTCGTGATATAGGACAAGTGTCAAAGATGTGTTCTGGATCAGAGCCAACCTCGCGGCTATTTGGACATAACGATGTTCGCCTCTGAAGGTTGAAAGGCAAAGTTCAAGTGAAAAGATTGTAAGGAAATACTGAGCTGACGTAAAGCTGAATGTAATCTGAATGGATGCTGTGGGTTGGAAAATCTTTTCTGTATGTAATTAGGTATTATTGTGTTTGGAATTTTCTTAGACTTTCAGATTGTAAATGTTTATTATAATAGATTGATGTAACGTAATTAGTTTTATTTTGACTCAACTCGTAGATTTTGATACAATCAATTATTTCGTTTTCATTTGAAAATTATATTTCGACAATATAATAATTCGTTGGCTCACTATTACAAGGTTATATGTTACAATTTTAGTAATTATTTTGTTATTAATGCTACAAGTTTCTATGTGTCATTAGCTACAGTTTTGCAAAAACAAACCACTAGATAGCGGCACTATAACTACAAAATATTCAATTTTACATACTTCTATGTTGTTTTTTTTACGATAGCAAAATAACGAAGTTCTATGTAAAAATTACTAAACTTCATTAAAATGTACATAGAACCTTGTAATAGTGAGCCAACGAATTATGCATGTGGTGTTTGTTGTTATTTCCTTGTGATAGTTATACAAGTATGAATATTATGAAAAGCATAGGCTGTAACTTTAGTTTAAAACTTTGTTCAAATTGATCATATTCTTAACTATATTTAATTTAATTATTTTATTTATTAAATTTTATAATTTTATTTAAACACCGACTAAATTAATTCAATTTAAATTATTCTTCCCATAAGGAAGAAATTATAAACTGGTTAAGATTTTTTTGACATACAGTTTTCCTCGAGAAACTCATCTTCAAAAAAATTTTGGTGACCCACTCATTTCAAATAAAATTACCACATTCATAGGTAAGGTGCTTATATAGTAGGTATATAGTATTAATTTATACTAATATTATAAAAAGGAAAGATTCGGTTTTTTGTTTGTTTGTACCGAATAGGCTCCGAAACTACTAAACCGATTTAGATGAAAATTGGCAAGAAGATAGTTTGAGACCCTGGGAAGGATATAGGATAGTTTTTATCTCGAAAATCATTCTTTAAGGGGGTAAAAATGGGGATGAAAGTTTGTATGGGGAATCAACCAAGGGACGAACCCGAGCGAAGCCAGGATGAGTCGCTAGTAAACAATAAAACAAAAAAATATTAATCAATCACTATCAGAATCATACTTTGAACAGTATACAAAAGCTGTCGCTGTCATTCAAAAATATTCATTCCAAAATAAAAATACATTTACGTTTTACACTGAAAAATTCGTCAAATTTAATTGCATTTTAAATGGATGGAGCTAACGAGATCGAGAATAAATTTTTCTTCAGCCACAAATGGAGATGGGATCCATTAATCATTGCTGCACGATGTAAAGCTGTGTTTAGACATGTCATGATAGCTCAATCTTAAGTCGTGCTTATATTTGAATAGATGATTTATTATTTTATGGTTCTTAATGAAAGAATAAGTATATACAAAATTATATACACGTATATGCGTTCCTAGGTGATTTATAAACAGTAGCCGAAGTGTTTCTCCAGTTCATAGTTTTTGTGTACTAATTTGATCAAAATCTGTACAGCCGTTTCACCGTGATGAAGTAATTATTATACAGACATGCAAACTTTCGCATTTATTTTCAAAAAAAAAAATATTCGACTCATTTAGAATTTTATTACATGTAAAGATTATCAAATTAATGTCCCAATATATTTATTTATTAATTAGTAAATCTTGTTATACTTAAGTATTAAAAAAACTTATAGTATTTCTTTCTTGCTTCAAATAGGCCATAAACAGTCGCGTGCACAAAGTCGTCTAATTAAGAATGGAATTTTATCAAGTTATGCAGAAGGAAAACTTATTTTTACATGCGACACTGAAATGTATAATAGACACACAAAATTATAGAGATGGATAAAAAAATAATGAATGTAATTTTGTGGGTTTTTGTCATTTAACATAGGTTTTTTTATATAAAAAGTTTTTTCTATTTAGTTTTAATTGGAAAAGTATTAGTAAAAGCAGTGTCATTACATATCTCATATATATATATATATATATATATATATATATATATATAGTATAGTAATTTAAGCAAAGAGAATTTACTTATCTACAAGATAACTTTTTTTAGTGTTTCAATTAGATAGGTAAATCAAACTTACAACTAAACATAATAATGATATCCTACCGACCGATTTCGGCATCCAATCTCATTGAGACTAGCCATCGGCGCAGGAGATATTATAGTGCACAAGTGTACGCGCAGACACAAGTGCACTCTCTTTTCCTGTCACTGTCATACTCCGGTGGAACGACTGCTCAACACGACCTGTGAGAGTTAAGGCGCAGGACCGACGGATTTACGTCTTCTCCGAGGCACGGGAATGAACTCCGGGTTGCTAATGAGACTTACTAAACAGAAAGACTCAATAATTAAACTTGGTCCGTCCCGGGACTCGAACCCAGGACCTCTTGATATGCAGACGTACATGCCAGCCACCACATCACCGTGGCAGTTTACAACTAAACATATTACGTTAGTAAATGCGATTTTTTGCAACACTTTTTCCAAGTTTCCATTTTAGTGCTGTTTCAATTTCTCAAACTCACTGTAGGTCTCGAATTGCCTTGAGTGCGAAAAGTCATTAAATATTAAGCAATCACATCCACAGTAAATCTGCACCCGCCTTAATAATGGAACATGCATTAAGCCACCAATACTACGAAAATACAAGATTTTTTGTATTTTTACTGAAATAGCGATGCACTTAGTAGAAATAATTAGAGTTGGAATATTTACGACTTGACGTTGTTAATTTTGTAATTA